GTGACTGAAAACTGCAAGCCTTGGTTGGATGTGGGTGAAATGAGGGAATGAGTGATAAGGCCTCCAGCCTCCTGCCCAGAAGTACAGCAACACCTGCAACTCCAGCTCGCAAGCCGGAGGCCCTGCAGAAGCAAGTGGTGCAGTGGCTTACGCCTGTGTCAGAGAAGGCAGCCGCTTTGTTAGTCCGCAGCTTTCCTGCAGCAGGAGTGATTCTCAGAGTGGGTAGACCTTGACATTTACTTCTAGTTGTGTAACATCTCTCCTTTACCCCCATTAGATAAACTGAAATGCACCAAAGAGGAGCACCTCTGTACACAAAGGATGCTGGACCAGACTCTGCTTGACCTGAATGAGATGTAGAGCACCCCAGTCCCGCCCTGCCGCTGCTCCCCCCTCTGATCCCGACTCCGCTGAGGCCAGCCTGCCCGAAGCTGGCCTTGAAACTGAGGGCTGATCTCTAACTGGAAGGCTGCTGTCTCCTTTTGCCGCCTCTCCCACCCCAACCCCTGTGTCTTTTTCGCCAAACTGTCTCTGCCTCTCCCTAGAGATTCCAGTTGGGCTTGAGGCTGAGCACCTTTGGGAACAATGTTTAAGGGAATGTGAGCACAATGCAAAGTGTCTTTAAAAGCATGTTGTGATGTACACATTTTGTAATTACCTTTTTTTGTTATTGTTGACGTAGCAACCATTTGTAAAACATTCCAAATAATTCCACAGTTCTGAAGCAGCAGTCTGTTCCCTTCCTCACATTTGGAAAGTAACTTTTCAGTTTAGTGCATACTGCCCTCTCCACAGAGGAGGCAGGGGCCTGCCTTACTGAGAGCCAGAGCCCGGAAAGAGACCCACTCTGGGAAGCTTCATTGCTTTGTCCAAAGTACCAGCCAGATTAGAAAGGTGATTCCAGGAGGAGTGGCCAAAAAAGTGTGGCTCAGGGTTTCAGCTTTAAGGTATCTTTGAGCAACTTACATTTTTAAATTTTTTTTTCCATCAGAAGTGACCAAACAAATTAAGATGGTGAGACCTCTATCTGAGACCAAATCCTTATCCCGTCTTTACCGTAACTGCCCATAGAATGGATCATGTTCCCCTTATGTTGAGGTGACTGCTTATTTTCTCTCCTGCCTCCTTGAAGGAAAAAAAGAAAATTATGTGTTTGCCACTGATTTAGCCATATGAAACAAACTCATCTCATCACCCTTTGCTGGGTCTGAAGCTGCTGTCTCTAAAAGTGCCATCTCGTGCTTTGTATCAGTTAGTGCTGGAGAAATCTTGAATAGATTATGTACAAAACTGTTTTTAAATTTTATATTATTTTGAAACTTTGCTTCTTTAGGGTTGGGGCACATTGGCCACCCTGTCTGGCTGAGAACTCTCTACAGTCTGTGGGCTGACAGTGTGCTGATCTTTTAAAAGTTTCTTTCCCTCCCCAATTCCCCTTTTTGGTGAGGTTTCTATGAGGCCTGTTAGGTGTGCATCCTGCAGCTTATTGACTTAAAATGCACTCTCCTTTGGTGTGCTCTCTGGGGGCCGATTGGGAGAAAGAAACCAATAGTGCAAACTGTTTTGATACTGAAAATTGACAAGTGTCTTTTTGAAATAAAGAACCAGTCCCTCTAATCCTTAGGCCTACTTGAGTTTTATTTACTAATGCAGTTGTGCTTTCTCCACAGGAGCTGTGCAGTTTGAGTGAAAAGTCAGATCTTTGTGGGTGGTGGCAACAGGATTTAGTAGAGATCACAGGCTGTGGAAGCAGACCAAAGCTGGGTTCAGAACTCAGCTCAGAGATTCTTACTTGTATGTCCTGATGTAAATGATTTAGTTTTTCCCTCTGTAAAATAAGGATAGTATGTATTCCAGGATGAGTGTGACTAGTGGAGATAATAGCTACCTGCCAGGCCTCTTCCAGGTTACTTAATTTAGCACTGGCAGGTTCAGGGTGAGCCGTACCTTCCCCTTTACCACGGTGTTGACTCTTCCACACCGTGGACTCGGGG